CAAATGAAAGTTACAAGGAAAATTGTTCTAGTTATCGTTCCTCCAGGCAAGCAGTCAGTGAAGCAAGACCCAGGATTTCGAAGATGTACATCAGATCTGATGGATTGGTAAGTTGAATAATTGATAAAAATATTAGATATGTTGTCTGCATATACTACAATATATAATATAATTGTACAAGGAGTACACATATATGCAGACTCCCTTAATTTTGAGCACAATTTTTTTAAATTATTGTATCTTGTCTTCATTTAAAATATGCATAATATCATTTGTATTTATCTAGAAGTGGTTTGTATAGTCTAATTGTATGTATGATGGCCAGAATGTGAGAGATGGGCATCACTGGAAGAAGTATGGACAGAAGGTGATAAGGGACAGTTCTTACCCCAGAGCTTATTTCAGATGCTCTTTCGCTCCCGTTTGCCCTGTGAAGAAAAAGGTTAGAATTTTACTGAAAACAGTAAATAAATAATTAGGACTGAGGTTCTCCTGACCTCCTGCTAATCATTTAGAATAAGCCTCCAAGCTATAAGAAAATAATCCCAATCATGTACAATATTTTAATTTTCTAAACTATCTTGTACTAGTGCATGTGAAATTAATATATATGTTTTTTAATTTTATTTTACGTTGGAATTAACTAATTTTAAGTTTTTTAATTAAAAATTCAGGTATAGAGATGCACAGAGGATCATTCAGTTGTTGTAGTTACTTATGAAGGGGAGCACAACCACGTCCAGCCATTACCAGGCCATTCTCACAATGGCTTATGCTGATATATATTGGGGTTCAGACTCAGTTAGGAATTCAAAAAACCAGCTGAAGATGGGGGCTGAGGAACATTTTTGGGACTTTTAATCATCCTTATTGCACTCAATTCTTAAATCTATCATTGAAACTTTAAGTTTTGCATTTATGTCCATTACCAGTACATGAAAAGGTGTATTTCAAAGTTAAAATAGTGATTTTTTTTTATGTGATGGGAAAGATTTGGGTGGTATACATGTTGAAAATAAAATGTTAGTTTCCTGGGTCTTAATGTTGTAATGGGTTCTTATTTTCCTGAGGATAAATTGAAGTCTGAGTATATAATAGTATATTTTGCTGAAATAGTTTTATGTATATGATGTTTTGTTGTGCCTATGATTAGAGGAGGTATGATAGGGATAAGACAATGGATTCAAATCTAATTTGGGATATAGCGATCATGAAGTCTGAAATTGAAAGCAATATGAGTATAACAATTGGCTTTATTTTAATTTAGTTAAATTTTAAGTTCCAGTTTAAGGAAATTATAAGTTGAATTAATTTGGAAGATTTACATACATACCACTCAATTACCGTGTATTTACATATCTAACACTAATACTTCAACTTTTACATAAATGTATCCCACCTTATCTATCCATAAAATAGAGTATTTCACTATTTAAAGGTTAAAATGATGGTATAAATGTAAAAAAAAGTAAAATTTAGGTGTTAGATATACAAATGCCCAGCTGCGGCAAAGCCCGTCTAATAATCTCATCCATAATACCCAATATTCTCTAAATCTTATTTCATATTTTCATTAATCCCAAGTTTATAGAATGTCACACATCTATCGCTCTGGAGCATGAACCTGACATCATGTTTGGTATATGTCGAGTTCCCATAACGGAATATAACAAAGATGAAACGTCATCACTTAGACACTCGATCACTAATGCTTTTAACAAAGATGAAACGTCATGATTCAGACACTCGATCGTCATAAAAACATTTTTATCTTATACGTCGAGGGCAATCAAACCTTTCGCTGGACCGAGAAGATTTCAACTGTGTTTTTAAGAGTAAAGATAACTAGTTTATAAATTTGAAGTCAATTCAAAAATGTGTATTATTAATATGTAGAAATTTTGAATATTATTCCTTGCTTCATAAGGTAGACAAAGGCGTTTATTTATGAATATTAAATTACCAACTCTTAATCCTAACATTAAGGATAAGCTTAATGATAATCAAGAAAGAATCACAAATAGGGATGGATTGCCGAGCTAAATAATCATCATGTGGTAGATATAATCAAAGCATAGGGATCAGTCTGATGGACAATCCTCTTGTGATTGATGTTTTTCAATACTTATCTTCAAGTTAGCACATAGATATCACACATGCCGAACTGGTCTAAGTGCTTCAAAAGTTTATGCTTGGATGCTCTCTTAGTAATGGTATCCACTAGCTAATCTTCTGATAGAATACTTTGCAGTTCCAATTCCTATCATTAAACTTCTCCTGAATGAAGAATCTGACTACCTCAACATCGTTGTATGATTCTACTGTGCTAGATTTTGGCTATATCTCATGTTGTGTTGTTATCAAAATTTAGCTAAATCAATTGCTTCTGGAAATAGCTTAGTCTTGCAAAAGAAATTTGAATTACAATGCTTGAAAAATTCCTAAGGTCATATCCTTATATAGCTTATACACTAGAATTTGCAGTAGCTAAATTTTTATTTATGATGGTAAATTATTCAGAGGTTTACTATAGGAATTTAGCTTATTACCAACGCTCAAATATTGTTGGTAACAATATTTAAACTGTAGGTAATATAATTACTGACGATCTAGCTAGAGTTTATTTACGTAGCAAAAATATTTGTCGGTAATAAAATTACCTACGGATTTATCAACGATTTCTATATACTGATGGTCATCCAACATATAGTAACTGTCGTTGTTGATCCAAAACCATATCATGTTTAACGGTTGTTTGACCGACGAGAATATAACTGATGTCTATATCCATAGGAAAAGTGTTGCACTTCCACCGGAAAAGTATCGTGCTTCCGTCAGTAAAGTGTAGCACAATAGTTGGTTCACCATGGAAAATGACAGACTGTTGGATTTATTGCAAAAGTGCAACATTTTGTTTAAACGTCATTTGTTCGATATATCCCTAGAAAACCTTCAGCACAAAATCAAAGAGTCATAAAATCATTGATAAGCTGTAGAAAACATGTGGCATTAGAAAAAAAAAAAATAAATCCCTCCTTCAACATTACAATTTACACACCTTTAATTGTAAAAGTACAATCTACACAAAGCACATCACAGTAATGAAACTAATTAATACATTAACCATAAATAAAATCAAAAGAAAAATGATCACATTAAACCAGCAAAATGAACAATTGTCCAATAAAAATATTCTTCGCGACCAATAAATTGTTTAACATAAACAAGGGAAAAAAAAATCCCTTATTCATCCTCCTCTGTCCACTCCTCATCTTCATCCTGAATTGGCTGCTTCTCTTTCTACGATTCAGAATGTGGCGCCGCTTCGATCTCTGCTTTTATCTTCCTCTCCATCTCCAATCTAAGGGTGCTTTGGTGGGTGGAGCCCTGGGGAGCAACCTCAGCAGTAATCTAGCCACAAATCTCCTCCTCCTGTGCAGTGGAAGTAGATACACTAATGTAAAAAAGGTACGGTAGGCATCATAGGACCGCACCTGATACCACAACTCGTAGACCCTGCCCTTCTTCTTATCGTCGACAACCTCCTTCCATAAGTCATACTTAGAAGGATCATAAGATGTGTCCGAACCACCACCCGACTGCTAGAATCGACTCTCCTTGAGCCTCGGGAAGGCCTCCTACAAAAAAAAAAGATTAATGAAAAAATAAATAAACTTTGATAGTTATTTGAATTTTATACTAATTATTCTTCAGAATTACTTGGGTCATCTAGGATCTGCTATCCACTTAGGATTGATCGGACTGCCGCCTGTGAGTGCACTCGTGTAACTCTACAGCAATTGACTCTCGTCCTTTCTTTATATTTTATCAGTGTGATGAAATAGTTAACGTACATTTAATGTAAAATTATTTAATGCAGAAGATAAGTCTTACTAGCCTTCTCCTGTACTCCGCATGTGAGAGTGCCCTAATAGTGTGCTTCGACGCCCAAATCCCTCTACAATCAGAGCGATGATTTTGCTATATATAGCATACTGGTGTATTGTAGAATTTATTTACAATTAGAAATTTTAATCAATGAAGCAGATATTTTTACGGATAATTACATGCTATTTACAAAATTAACCCTCCTATTATTTTTTTGAACTACCAAACTCATGCATTTACCAGTTACATGATTTGGGAATTTGAAAAAAAAATATGTAAAATGTGTTTTATGTTCTACCATAAATTCTGTTATTTGAGTGGAAGCTTATGCATAATGCATATACTTATCTAACATGCGAGACCGTAACTTTATATATTTCACCAATTTTTTGGATAATTATATACACACCACCAAAAATATTGGTATTTATAAATATATTATTTAAGTCATTTTTGTGAACTGTTTAATTCATATATTTACAAGTGACACGATTAAATTATTTAAAATTTGATATAAAATGAAAATTATGAGTTTAGATTTTATGATAAATTTTAATAAATCAGAAAGAATTTGAAAATGGATGAAAGACAGGTTTTAATTTGTAAATAACAAATTTGGGGTGGTTTGTATGTAATTGTCCCCTTCCACGATTGAAGAGACGAACCCCCCATTAACGTTGAGTATTTCCGCCTGGCCCTTCTTCCCTTTCCCTGTTCTTCTTCTTCCTCTGCTAAGCTTCTTTCCCAACCTATCGTGCTCGTCCAACCAAGCCCTTAAGAAACCTTTTTTGATTGCTTCCACGAATAATTTTCTGGTTGGAGCCGAATCGGTTTTCAAATGGTGTCTTCCGCAGCTCGGTTATGGAGTGACTGACGGGCGGCGGTTAGAGCTAGCCGGCGACGGGGACATAAGACCCAAACGCTCCCTTGCAAGACCGGCACGTTTTCACGACCTTTTTTTTCCGACGATGAACTGGAGCAGTCAACGGTTTCTACGTTGTGTGAACCCAATCTGGAGGGGCGGTGGTTCAGGTGATCGATCGACTCATCCGGATACCCAAATAGAGCCCTGAGGAGAGAGGAAAGCTTCTTATTCTCCTTTTAGCGCTCTTCCCATGTCGTTTCACGCTGGCGGGGAGAAGGAAAAGGAGGCGGAGCAGGACAATGCTCCTTCTACCGCTGCAGAAGAGGTTGTTGCTGCACCGGTGGCTTGTCCGTGGAATCTGAGGAAACGAAGTGCTGCGTGTCAAGCTCCATTGGAGAACGGAAGGAACAAGTACCATTGCTCATCACTTTCTAATCCGCCATTGGGTAAATCCGTTATGCGAAAATCCGCGGTCGGCGAAAATGGTCGGCGGAAGAAGTTTTCTATTTCGTTATTTCGAGCGGAGATCGAGGAGGACTTTTTGGTGTTCAAGGGGACGAAGCCCAGTCGAAGACCTAAAAAGAGATCCAAGGCCATCCAGAGGCAACTCGATGTAAGAGAAAATTTCATATTTTGAGCAGATAATTCTCATTCTTGATTGTGGTGGTGGCAATTTCGATTGTATTTGGATTAATTTTGATCTCTAATTTTAAATTTATGTTCATTGTTGTAGGACTTATTTCCTGGCGTATGGTTGTCCAAGATTAATGCAAACATGTATAAAGTAGATTAATGAGTTGATTCTTCATTTTTCTTTTTCATAATTTTACTAGAAAGTTTGAATCAACAAGAATAGGAAATAATCCTCTATTCAGAAGATGCAAGAGGGGGTATGACATTCTGCATTGTTAGAGTGGAGGTTCTTAAGAATTCTAAGATTCCGACTTTCCACATTTATTGTTATTCTGTAGCTTCAGTTAGAATCGTTCTTTAGTTTACGACATTCGATTGTAAATTTTTTAATAAAAATATATAAGAATATAAAATGCAATTTTATCTTCTCTTACTTTTTACTTGCATTTCATTTGTTGGTTTTGGACTCTCTTATTTAATTTATAAAAAATGATTTCATACTGCACTTCGACATGTGAAAACTGATATTAGAATTATCATGACAGCAAAAAGATTTCAACTTAAGAAATGCTGGCCTAGAAAACCTCAAGTCTTTGCTTTATCATTTATATAAATGCTGAAAACACATTGGACTAAAAAATTGATTGAATGCTTAAAACAAATAGATAGTAGTTATATGATGTTTTGCATATTCAACCCCAATATCAACAACTTAGTTTTCTGACAGTCCTATCATACTGCTTTTACATGCACATTGTAATTCCTGCATTTAAGCAATCAAAGACATGGGTTTTGAACTTTGTGGTGTGAGGTGGCTTTTCCTATTTAAGAGCTTTTAGTAGGAGGAATAATTGAAAAAATATTTATTTCTATATATTTGCACATTATGGCATGGAATCTTCTTTTGTTATTTTGGTTCAATTATATTGATTGCATTTTTTAAGTATGAAGGAATTGGAGCAAAGATGATCTCAAGTAATTTTTTCCTTAGCAATTTCTTGTGTCCTCATATGAAAGATATAAAAAAGGCGTATCATTAAAACAAACTAGCAATTTTTTGTCTTAAGAAAAATTAAAAAATGTGAGTTGGCTAATTGATTGTGTAACCCTAGGTTTGAACAACACTTGGGTAACTTAAGGAGTTCATGCACCTCAATGCCTAGCCAACACTTTGAGAACTTGAACCTAAGCAGTAAAGTCGACAGTGACGCCAAGACGTCTGATCGGCAGTGTCTAAGACAAAATAACTTGCAATACTCACACATCATAAACTTGTCTACAAACTTGGTTGGAAGTAGTTCTGGAGGTAGTTCTCTGCCCAATAGCGGCAATTTCCATGAATGGTACAGATTAAATAAGCCTAGAATCAAGCCTTAACTGTTACACCAGAAGTGATAAGATCCACCTAATAAGCATAGCACATGGGTCCTCCATCTAAGGTGGAGATCAAACCATGCACCAGAGACTAGATGAGTGTAAGACTCGAGTTGGGCATCATTATTAAAAACTGACAGTGATGTAAGATGTTTAGTTGGTGTGAGACACATAAAATGACCGACAACAATGTAAAACACTTGATCGGTGTTCAAAATAAAACCTGACTCTTAACACTCAAGCATACAAAAACCTACAACTCTAAACTCGAGCCAGGTGAAGCTTTAGAGATGGTTTCTTACACAGTAGTGACAAGCACTGTAAAAGGTACTAAGTAAATCACTTAGAAGCAAGCTTCAACGGCTGGACTGTTTGAGGTGGTGATCCAACATAGTAAACAAAATAAGGGTAGACTCAGAGTTGAGCAAGTTGGAAATACCTCAAAACTTATCAAAACATCTCTCATAAGGGATGAGCAATCGATTGGTTCACACACACCACATGAAGTAAATGATTAACTGTATAAAATGTAAAAGTGACACAATGATAAAAAAAACCATTCAAAAGCCGTATTTCATTACAATCAATCAGTCAATTAAAAAAAAATCCCTTTCATTACAAAACCTATAAAAATATTCCAAGTGTTTTTCATTAAAATTTTTTTCCCTATTGCAAACAACTAATTCTCATAAGTGTAGGGATAAAAGCAACCAAATCAAGTATTAGACGAGTCGTCGTCCGCCCCCAATTCATCCTAGTACTCACCACTGATGTAGGTGTTAAAGGGGAAAGGAAAAGCTTGGTGAATTTTTCCAAGTAGGAGTACTTTTGTAGACCATTCCAACCCGCATGAAGTGGTCGATCACCGGCTTTGTGCCTAGTAGGAGGAGCTTGGTCTGATCGTTAGCAAACTCCTCTGCAACCTTCATCGTGCCACCTTTTTAGATAAAGATGAGTTCTCGTCTTGAATTGCAGAGAGCCACTTAGACAAATTTTTGAACTCCTCCCCAACTTCATCCACTTGAGTCTCTGTTGCGGCCAACCACTCCTTAGACCCCTCAGCTCAAGCCTTGAAATTATTGACTTTCTTCTCCATCTTGCATCCTTCAATTTTGGCAATGAGGTAGTGGGAAGTCAAATGGTGTGTCGTGGCGTGGCCTAGCGATTGATAGTGTTTAGTTGTTTGCAAAGGTCTTAAGGGTCGCAATCTTCCAATTTATTTTCAAAACTTTCTGGCCAAAGAACATCTACAATAGTTGGAGCGTACTTATTGGTGCATGGGATTCAATGGTATCAATCACTCTGCATGTATATTAAAGCAAAGTGCTTGTCAATGGTGACAAATACCATTGGTCACTCTTTTTGCATAGCCCTCCATCTTCTTGTAGCATATCTCTGTCTCTTCCATTGAGGCGAAGGGAGTTTAGTGTCTGACTCATCTATTGGGACATTGCATTTTTGGCGATGGGCATCATGGGAAGCAGTAGGATTAGCCAGTAATTTAGGATTCACCCAAATATCTTTCTCTTCAGATGCCTCCTCAGCAATTACAAATGTCTAAGACTCTGGCTCCGCTTTGGCAGAAAACCTAAAGGAGGGCCGACTAGCTTCCCCTCATGTGGCATGGTTAATGAAGCTGGTGGTGGCAGCCTGCCACAAAGTTTCCTGCTTTTGATCTAGTTGTTCATTTGAAGACACTTCAACATCAGTCTTAAGGTCGCTCAGAGTCCGATCACCTTCTTTCTCATGAATTGTTGAAGAACCAAAACTCATCAAGGTAGGTCTTTGCTCAATCAGAATTAGCTCCTCAGTGGAAACCCTATGAATTACTATAGTAGTTTCATAGACTGAGTGAACATAGCTAGAAACTGGGATCCTAACATTAGGGTCGGCAGTCGCATCCTCCTCCCCTCTGCCTCTTTGGAAATCCTCAGTCAGGCCACCTCCTAAGCAAGTTCTTCTGCATAGGTTGTGAGAGTTTTTTCATCCCCTTCTTCTCCCCAAAAAGTTAAATTCCACTGAAATTATATACTTATTTATGGATCCAAACATATCCAGGTTCACAACTTCATTCACAACCATCCCAATCGTGCACTAAACCACAAACAACTACCTCTCTTCGATAGCCAAAGCTAGGCCTCAAATTCAAAAAGGCATGGATTTTCTCTTCTTATAGACCTCTCTAGTCAAACTGCTATGAATCCCCCAATCTTCTGTCAACTTGAGAACAAATTCGCACGTACAATATTCAGTTTGTTTATTAAGGCCAACTAAGTGGAATTTTTGGGTTGACCTGAAGTCCACATAAGCATTTGGCTCTACTCGAAAAGAGAACATGTAGGAGTAGAGTTCCTCCAACCGAGGAATCTCCCTTCACTGATAGTAGGCCACAATCAAAGTCAACTTAATTTTGGTAGGGATCACACCATAACGGTTCATTATGGCCTGAAGCTCTTTATAATGAGATAGTCAGAGACCCCACTAGAATTGGTCTTGATAGAGGTCTAGATTGTTACTGAACTCATTAGTTGATGATCATCTGGGCTAACAGAGTGCAGATAGATTTTGTCATCAAAGACACGGGCCACAACGAGCGGAGTAGCGCCGACCAAAGTTAGAGTGGACGGTTGTTTGGGTGCAGAGATCATCCTAAAGCAGTTGGTCAATTATTTTTTGTGCATTCAAATGAAAGTAAGATGAGCAAAAGAAAAGGAATCGACCAAAAGAAAGAACTGAGATCGAATGTGTAGAAGAATTCAACATTTAACCCTTATATCTAGTGCCCCAGAGGAATTTCAAATGTCACACAAGAGCTACAATATGATTTAAAAAGCCCAAATCACATCAACAAAAAATACGAGGGAAAATTATATGTAGAGATAATTTTTTTTTTGTAAAAATTAATAAAAATAATTCTTTATTCGTATAAAAATTATTTTACAAGGTTGTCCTCAGCCATTTTGACCAAAACAAGCCCCCACCTTAGCAAAATTTAATAGAACACACTCCACCCAAACTAAACATAACTACACTATTAGCTTGAGCTTGGACTTAAAAAACTGAGCATGTCGACCAAACATCAACCAGCTCCACCCAAAGAGCCTCCAGCTCCATCGAGTGTTCCTGCCTCAGGGCCACCAACTCCACTTGTAGCTCCTTCACCTCCACATCCAGTTGCGGGCTACTAATTAACCTTTCGGGACCTTCTTTAGGAATGGTCAAGGTGTTGACTGCACCCCCCCCTGCTCTATGCGTGGGTTGACGTTCCCTCAGCTGTATTAGAATAAAAAACTTGGTCGACAGCTTGGAGCGATGATTCATCACCTAAGATCATATCAGTTGCATCAACAAAAAGAAGTGGTACATAAAGGCAACCTCTAAACGCATCATATCGTCTCCACAACCCAAGGCTCCATCTAACTCAAAATTATCGGAATAAAGGACAAATTTTACCAGGCATCGACGGGGTATCTGCAATCTCTCCCCCAAAGTTTGGTTCCATAACCATAGTCATTGATCTTGCAAGGTGCATGTCGTTTTTCTACCGAGGTCTGGATCTGGAACCATAATCCTTTGATCTTTAGGCAATGAAGCTCTAGTCATCTCTTGGGTAGATTGTTAGCCTACTGATCATGGGTCACGACAATGTAGGTGTCAGAGCACTAACAGAAGAGTCACTCATTTTTCCTCCCTCTTTTTTCCATAGATTTTATAGCAAGTCGAATGATGCAACCTCATCCATAAAATCTTCCACATGCTTCTTCTTGTTGGTGAGTTGCTTAACTCACCTCAAACCTTTGGATTGGCTCCCTTGTCCCTTCTTTCAGCCTCTTCGTTGTCATGGGCTACTTTGCACCCTCGAGCTGGCTCCCTTAGCTCAGTTTCTTTCTTCCTCTGGACATCTTGCCCTCATAGTGGCTACCTCCCTCTGATTGCTTCTTCTAGAGTTCCTTATCAAAATGAAATCCTGACACTGAAGCCCCAAAGGTCTTAACCAGCATTTCCTTGATAAGGACATTGTCCGTGAATTTCTTGCTACTCGCCATGGAAGCACTCTTAAAGTCAACCGACAAAGAAACACGCTCTCAAGCAATGCGACAATAAAAGCACTAACCATGAACTATTGATAAAATATCTGGAACACAAAAATAAAGGAGTTCAATTATTAAATTATTGATTACAAGAAAAAAAATCTATTTTTTACATTGAAGTATTTTATTCTTATCATAGTGCGACTTTCAAGAAATAAGTGAATTGAGTAACTAAATATGTATGTCAAAAATGAATCAGCATGAATCCCTAGGAAATTCAATAAACTAAAGATAAAAATGTTGTCATGGATGGCCCATAGAAGGAAAATGAAAGGACACATCAACGGACGACTAAAAAGCTTAACTGACTAACTACAGCTCTCTTGGAGCAGAATTCAAAGCTGACTGAATGAAGACTGCATGAGTTAAAGATCAAGATCATTAAATCAAGATAAGGAATCGACCCAACTCTCATACCAACATCGCTAACCACCTCACAAGAACCCTCAAGACTCTCTAAGTCCTGGGGTTCTCATCATAACACACTCCACAAACAACTCAAAAGGAAATCTTGTTAAGGTTTAGACTACCTGTCAGATGACAATGATACACCCTCTGTCTGACAGTCTAATCTCATTCTAATGAAAAGAGCTTCTCATCTTGGAGTCGATAGTCGGTAGTCGGACCATAGCAGTCGACGGGCTGACCAAGCTAGACATGCAATGTCCAAACGACTGAAAGACAACGAGAGCTGGCCGACTGTTCCATCTCAGCATAGTCGACTGAACGACCCCTGCCGACCCAATGACTACCGATCTCAACCGACCAAGTGGTAGGGTAGCCGAGTAATAGGCTCGTTTATTTTTAAAAATAAAATACCTTGTAATGCCCAAATAAAAGTAGGGGCAAGCAAGTAGTTGTACCCTTCATACCCCCTTGTATATAAATAGAGATGTCATTTCTACATTAAGGAATAAATTAGTAAGTTCTAAAAGAGCCAATTCTTTATTGTACTCTCTCTCTGTCTTGTTCTCTCCAGTTTTACACTATTCATTGGATGTGATTTACAAGACAGATTCGGATTCAATATTTTTATCATTTTGAGAAAAATTGGTAATTGTCTAAGATTTTTAATCTTGATTTAGGTTTTGATTTTTCTCTCAATCATCGAGGTTTTACTTTCTACGGTTTTTATTATTCTGACCATTTCAACACTTAGTTTTTATTTTTAATTTAGAAAATTTTAATTTTTCAAAAAATTGATGAATCATCATAATTTTTTTCATATACTTAAAAATTTTAATAGATTTTATAATTTTAATTAAAATTTACATTATTAAAGATTACACACTTTAATTTAAGAAGTCCCATTTTATTATATAAAAAAATCAACTTATATCTTTAACTATTTTCTTAACAATATATCGTATTTTAACTCTAAATAATATACATACTTTTCAAAATGTAATATAAAAAAGATAATTCTTTTAGTGCATAAAATAAATAATCCTTCTTAATGAAAAATCTGTGAAACAGCAAATAAATATCTCATCAACGTAAATAAACAATTCAAGTCATCGATCACATTTATTCTAAAATCCACGGCCCGACAACTTGACTCAAACTCAACTAAGAAAACCTCATTTTGGTCAGATATCCAACCCATTTGAATTTTGAGCTAAGTTTGAGTCAGCCCACAAAACAAAACTTTTCTACTTCAAACTTCATCCAAAAATCAAAACTTGGCCTAAACTCGAACTCAGCTCACATGGTCGTTAAGGCTTACGTTAAATAAATTATGTGGGTCAGAAATGAGTCAATCGAGTTGAAGACGAGGCGGATTCGGAACAAACCAAATTCAGATCCGATTCATGAACTCAAATTGACAACCTACTTTACAGCAATCGCTTCACCATGTGAAATTGGTACCACTAAAGTGGTTAAAAGACATTAATTATCCGAATCACTACCATATAAATATATAAAATTCACTAGCTGATGAAGAATCCAAGGCAGATGGTGAGGCTGATAATTGTGTCACACATGTTATCCATTTATCATTATTGCTGGTTGTCGCACCACAGACAAAGGAGGCCTCACATGAACAGCTAATTATAAATAAATGGAAGGCATAAAAAGCTGGGAGAATCTAATGTGCCGCTACATTTTTACCCTCTTAGTTCACTCCATGTTCCTCTCTCATCTTTCGTGGAGGGCTGTCTCACAAACTATGTACCTAAGCTTCTCTGGTTGCCGAGTCACGTATTTTTCTTGAGTTTATTAAGCTCAGGTCTCGTCTAATATTTTGTCGTCGTCGTTGTTGTTGTTGCTGTTGTTGTTGTTGGTGATTGTGTTGTTGATGATGAGAATTTTGCTCAATTGGAATATCTTCTTCGTCCCATGCTGCTTGTTGACGATATAGTCGTATGGCTACGACTAACATGAATGCTGCATCAAAAAATGTCCAAGACAATTAAAATAGTAAAAAAATCATTTTTTGTTAATGATTAATTTTTTTACTAATAATCGGAAGTGAAAAAATGAATTAATTACCGGCCCATATTCGAGCAATTGTGGAAGATAAATTCCATATGAGGGTGAAAATAGCGCTGACTATCAACTTTTTGTGTGTGCATGTCTCCCAACCATCTCGAAATCTTTCTAGCCAAAATTTTCCTGAAAAACTTAAGAAATTTAAATACAAGATGAAGATAATGCTAATAGTAATGTTAATATTGATAAAAATTTTCAATGCTATTTTAATATAATTTAAATATTACGTAAATAAATATTTATAAATCTCTTCCTACAAAATATTTAGATAATAAGGGTCTTTTTGGGGCAGCTGCAGCTTATTGAATAATCTGTTGATAAGCTGATTAAAAATAATCTGTTGATAAGCTAGGTGCAATGACTACTATAAATTTTTATTTTTTTAGAAAAGTTAGACCAATGCCAGAAAGTTTCCACCGCACCTAGATAAGTGCGGTGTGAAAACGTTGTTTTCAGCATTTTGAAAACGCATAAGCTGTCAAAACGCAGTTTACCTAAATAGGTGAGGTGCATTTTCAAAATGCCACTGCAACAAATAAACTGCCCTAAACGGACCCTAAAAATTTAAATACATAAAAATTAGGTAGTATAAAAAAAAGAAAAACAGAGTAAATAAGAAAATGCCACTCACCGTAACGTCCGAGCTGCAATGAATAAGACGACAAAACTTTGGGCACGGTAAAAACTCCGAAAAATGCTGCAGCAATCACAAAAACCACGTCACCATTACACCAAATATTCCCGTCTCACTAAGGACGAGCAGAGTGCCGCTAACGAACAAATACATTTATATTTATAAAACAAAGGCTACACAATATATACTAAAATTTACAAATTCCATCCCATAAGCTTAAATAAGACCCATTAATTTAGATTTGGTATCAATTGAATGTTCTCGAGTTAGATGGAACATAAAAAATAACCGAAATATAATGTTAAATTTATCCTCTCAAATTAGAGGAAAAATAATACATTAGGACTCCGAACGTTCGGATTCTAATAGTTACGAATATTCAGCTGTGTTACATGAATATTTCATCTGTGCTATTTGTAAAAAATGAAGTGTTATTTGAGTATTATATGGTGTTATTTTATTATTTTACGGTGTTATTGGAACTTAATTTGGGGCTGAAGTGTTATTGAAATATTCTTTCGTGTTGCTTGATTTGTGACTGTGTTATTCCAATAACATATTGAAAATTGAAATAACACGGAAAATATGTCGAATAACACAACCTCAAATCAAGCAACACATGAGAATATTCTAATAATAACACAAAATAATCGAATAACATCATATAATACTCGACTAACATTTTATTTTTTACAAATAATACGTTCGGAATACTGATTTAATAATTTTTTATTAAGGAGTTACGGAAGTACAAGATGAAATTTACAATTTATTGAAGTTTGATAAGAAAAGAAAAATTAAGCTGTAAAATCCAAAATTTACCCAGTTTGGCGAGAGTCCACAGGGTAATGGAGCTTCCACACCTGCCCATAACGAACAAAAATACTGCCATCTGCCACCACCACAGTTTCCCAATCTCTTTAGAAATGTGCAGAACAGTTGTGTTTTATAGCAGAGCAGAGAGCCGAGTATTGCTAACCTTCATTGTTGTTGCAGGGTCACCTGAAAACAACGCTCTGGTTCTTAAGAGAATCTCGTTTATATAAGGAAGAATTCTTCTTAGGATCCAGACGGCTTCTTCTTCTCCCACCAAGCAGCTTCCATCGCCATCTAAAAACTCCACCTCCTCTTCTCCCCTGTAATGAAGAGCATGCAGGTTTCGCATTTTGGGGTTTTTTTTTTTTTATATTAAAGGAATATAATGCTTTACCTCCGAAAAATGGATCTTAAGAAGAAGATTGCTGCGAGATACAGAAGCCCCAAGTATGAAATCACAGAAATCAAGCTGCAGTAATAAGAATTTGTAGATGTTTGTGAAGGATAAGCAGTGAAATCATAGTTTTTATGGGAATTTGTTTTCTCGGACTGAGGATGGTATATACCTGAAGTTGAGATCTTTGGCGTAGGAAGATGAGACTAAGATAAATGTTCCAAATCCAAAAGTAAAAGCGGTTTTTGATATATCTTTCCACATTACTAAATCAACTGTACAGAATCAGCAATTTTGAACTTCCTTGTTAGCGAGTTAATTATAAATTGTAAATCTATCTAATTGAAGCAGATACAGACCAATGTGCTGCATCCTGTTTGAATTCCCAGAAATGGTCTCGAACAAAATTTCTTCTTCTACCTCTTCTTCTTCTGCAGCTTCTTCATCACCGACACAGGAAAAATGAACACGGGGCTTTAAGATTTGGATTGATAAGAAGAAAAATAGCATATAACGATCTCACCTTGGCTATGTTCCACTGGATCTGGATCCTTGCCTCTGAAATCTTCCACAAAAGAAGCTTTTTTGGCATCAACCACCATAGGTGGTGCAGATACTTGTATCTCATGAACTTCTTCAATCTTCTTCATTTCCTCTTCCTTCATCTCTTTCTCCACGGGCAGATCCATCTCCTTATCATCAAAGCTCCTTCTCCGTTCCTCCACTTCCATCTCAATCTTCTCATCTTCTTCCCCTTCCTCCATTTCCTTCTCATTCCCCTGCCCATCACAGATAAGTAACACCCCCTTATCTCCCACTCCCCTCTTAGAACCAATTTCAATTGACTCTGCCTTCCTGAGCTGAATTGGACTCCTCTGCGCTTCAGGTTGCTTCCAGTTCTTCCTCTTCTTCTTCTCCAAATCCAAACCACCGCTCTGATTTCTTCGTAGCCTCCGGTAAACCCGCAGCCCCTCCTCATCATCACGGCTTTCACCGGCAGCATTGAAGACCTTAATTCCTCCCTGCACCTCATCCATCTTCATCCTCGTCTCCCAAACAGAGCCGGCCATCACCCCATTCCTAATTATAGCCCTTCTTCTAGTTGCTGGTTGCATGATGATCCCCTTGCTTCTTCACCTGCCCCAGTTTCCTTCAATAGATGTAGAGAGGAGAGAGAAGTATTCGTTGTATGGGACCGTTTTCTTCTCTACACAGACTCAGCTGCTCTCTACTTTTCTATTTGTTTCCAAGATGAAAGCTTTTACGACATGGTAGCAGTAAAAGATGAGAGGAATAGAGGGAGGGGTTGCTCTAATTTTAAGGGAAGAGTGACAGTGGACTTTGCTTTAATTGAGGATATTACTGCAGGTTTTTGTTCAAGGGATCACATGAAAGATGGGCGTCAAAATTAAGGGCTGTATTTTAATGTGTCTTGGCTTTTGCATGGGAGCCACGGAGGAAGGAAGGATGAACATTATTACTTTGTCAATTGTTGATAACTTTTTAATTTTTCGCTAAATTCCAATACCGATTTGGATTTAAGTGCACATTTGATCGTGTTTCATTGTAATTTTACTGTTGAGGTGAGAGTTGTATTAGCTATTTTTTAAATATTGTTATCTAATTATTAAAATTCATAATAAAATCATTACTTGTTCTTGTGGTTGTTTTTGAAATTCTAACGTTTTAATCATGGCACACGTAAGACAATTTTAACGGTTATAAAAAGCCCAATTCTTATGTATCAAATTTTTCATAACACAAGGGAAATACCACCATTTTAGCTTTTATCAATTGAAATGCAAATTTTCATGTATAAATAAGGCGGCACGTTTGTAAAATATGAACTTTAGGTGTTAGATATGTAAATACATAGGAATTGAGTGGTATATGGGTAATTGTTTCTAGAAAAATTGACCTGGATATTAATTTTGCTGTTAGCTGTTGATGGAACATTAAGAAATTAAATTCATTTACTTACATAATTAAATGACAAGGGAAATCTCAGAAATCTTGATCTTAAAAGAGATCCATCAATTTGGTTTATTTAAGATCACCATGTGGATATCAAGATTAGGATAAGTTATTGTTGAGAAATTAGGGCGAAGAAAAATAATAATCGACACAAATCCAAAAGAGTACACAGAGATTTAACGAGGTTTGACAATGTGCATATGTCCTCGGGAGCAGAGCGGCGAATTTCACAATTTCAGATGAGTCCAAAACATACCGATTGGGTTACACATCTTATTTTTAGATAAAACCGACAGATAAAATTACTAACACGTCATCGCTCATCCCAACCCACTAAATTCTAAGAGACATTCATCTTCATTCCAGGAGACACACTATTTCAATTCCAAGAGACACCAAATTCTAGTATATGAGCTATACCAAACAAATCTCCACCTTAGCGAATATCCAGCCCCTTAGGAGAAATACATATATCTAACAAATCTCTACCTTGGTTAATATTCAACCCCTTAGGAGAATTACATATACCTAACAAATCTCCACCTTGGCGAATATATAGTCCCTTAGGAGAAATACATCATGGAATTTCTTACACCGAAGTGGGTTGGACAACCATGCCCCATGCCGTCTAACAATCCATGCCGTCTAACAATTGCAAACATTCAACAAGTCTAAGCAATGCAAGAACTTGTTGATAGTACCTAGCTTGGTCAACATATCTTTTGCAATTTCATCATATAATTCAACAGAGTGAACTTCACTTACAACTGTACTCTCCAACAGTTTATAGATATTACTTGCAGTGATCTTTTCTTTCATCACAATCAATGCACCTTTAACAATTCTAATGATTTCTCTATCTTCATTGCCCTTAGGAATAAACCATTTTTGTGTAAAGTGCCCACAAAAAATTTAATTCTTCTTTAAATCTGAAATATGTCTTACATCACATAATGTTCTGACAGTGTCATCATACATCTTAATTCTGACTTTACCAATACTAGTAATATTATAATATCTATCATCACCCAAATAGACTGAACCAGAATCAGATAACATGTATGAAGTAAACCATTCCCTGTTAGGTGTTATGTGATAAGAGCATCTTGAATCAATAATTCATGCATTCTTCAACTGAGTTGTTGTAACTGAAAGTACATAACCATCACTGTAATCTGAATTGTCACTCTGCACCATATTCACAGACTTGGAAGATACGTCATGTTTTTCATCAAACTGTTGCTTGAGCTTTGAACAATCTCTCTTCATATGTCCCGGTTCCTTGCACTTGTAGCAATGAATCGTTTTTCTGCCTCACCTAGAATTTTGCATTCCAAAACTCTCATTCTCCTCCTTCCTTCCATGATTCTTCTTACCCTTAACATATAAACTGCAGTAATCTCATCAACTTTGATAGTTTCTTTCTCATATGTCAGAGTAGTCACCAGGTGCTCATAAGAAGAAGACAATGAACACAACGAATCATTGCTCGGTCTTCATCCTCAATACCCACATCAAGCCGTGTCAAATATGCGATTATTTGATTGAAGACATTCAAATGTTGCGCCAGATTAGTGTTTGCCTTGCATCTTCAGCTCTTACAGTCTTTGCTTCAAATACAATTTATTCGTCAGAGATTTTGACATAAACTGGTATTCCAATTTCTTCCATACTTATTCTGAGGATTTCAGATTCATAACATAATACATAATCTCATATGCCAGACATAAATGTATGACACCTGCCGCTCGTTGTTGCAATTCTTCCTAATCTTCATCTTCCGTATTATCAGGTTTCGGAGCTCGCAAAGCCTTCAAAATTTTTTATTGTGCCAGAAAATCTTTCACCCTTGTTTGTCACAATCTGAAGTTTCTGATTCCATCAAACTTCACTATCTCAAATTTTGCACTAGAGATTGCTATTTGAAATTAATTCTGGAGCGAACTTTTCCTGCTTTGTGTCGAAACAAAAAACACACCACAAATAAATTCAAAGAAACTTGAGATTTTCTCTGTCAATTACAGCAATTTTTTTACAATTTTGCTGTGATTCGTGAATCAATTTTTTCACACGAAACACTTTTTCTGTTCACGTTAACACTTTGGCTAAATTGCCGTCCTACGAGCAAAACCCTTTGCCTGCACCTTGTCGAACTCCACCTGTTGCAAATCTTCCTGGGACAAACTAAAAAACTCTGCTGGCCGAACTTCCCTGTTTGCAAAAACGATGCTGCTATTCGAGGTAACTACATGTGTAACTCCTCTCCTCTGTGAAACTGGCAAACCGCTCAATTGCCTCTTTACGTGTCGCGAACCCTCGGTCGCGCGAATCACACTGCAAGAGTAGCACACTCCCCGGTTGTCGCCCTAAGAAGCCTGTCCACGTCAAACGCCTTGTTGGGATGCTGCGCCCAATTTGCCGAACTCCCCTGGCCGCGAGAACTCCTTCCCGTAAGCAGTGGCGATGATTCGAGAACTGATGTGATGATTCACGAACTATTCCGCGCAACTGAACTGCCGCTCGATCTTCTGCTCGTGAATTGCTTCGCACCTATTTGCAAAACTGCTTCTTCCGCAGAATCCTCGTGCCCTGTTCGTGAAACCTTCCCTCGCTTGTTCACAGAACTTCCTTCGCGAATTGATTCTTGTGTCGAGCTCCTCGCGAAATTCCTCGCCGGACTCCTCCAAGCCGAACGTCAAATCCTCTGTTGCGCGCTGTCGCGCGCGAAGGCTTGTGAACTCTCGTCTTTGACCAGCTGTTGAAGCACCGAAGCCCTATCGCGATCCTCCTTCTCGAAGCCTGCTACGAACTCCTGCATTTCGCGAAATACCGAACTCGCTTCTGTCGCACGAAGTCGTACAACCCTGCTTGCGCAAACCTCCTCTGAGTCGCGAATCCTCACCTGCCTTCTCCGAACTCCCGCGGAAAATCCTTCCCGCACGCGACTCGCAGATCCTGGTCGCCAACCTCTGAGCGAATCTTGCTGCTGAAATCGGAACTACCGCTAACAGTTTTCCTGCGCAGACGTAATTTTTTCCGTATACTAGAACTTGACTCTGATACGAATTGTTGAGAAATTAGGGCAAAGAAAAATAACAATCGACACAAATCCAGAAGAACACACAGAGATTTAACAAGGTTCGGCAATGTGCCAACGTCCTCGGGAGCAGAGCGGCGAATTTCACTATTTCAGAGGAGTCTAGTACATACCCATAGGGTTACACATCATATTTATAGATAAAACCCACAGATAAAGTTACTGACATGCCCTCACTCCCCCCAACCCACTAAATTTCAAGAAACACTCATCTTCATTCCTGGAGACACACCTCTTCAATTCCAAGAGACTCCAAATTCTGATATATAAGCCATACCTAACTGTTATAATTTCTAACAAAAAAAAAAATAAGTTTATATTAAAAGTAGTTCTAATAAAAAGATCTAATTTTGATGATTTAACATACGACATAAGAAGGAAACCTAGCAGGTATAATATTGAACTAAATGAGTAGGCATGAGCTGAGGACAATTAGGCAGTAGTAATTTTCTCTTTGCACAAGGAGCTATGTGGCCGCATCCAATATTATAATAAATAGCTTGTGGCCTAAGGAGAGGTTTTTTATGAAATGAAGCCTGAAGAAGCACCTAGAAGCACACTATTGGAAGGGGCTGTAGGAGCGCCAACAGGAATCGTGGTGTAACTATGCGGCAATGGGCGTAGCCACCTTGCGGGAATCGATCGTTCCAATTGTCTTCACGAGCGAGGGGAACATTTATGCCACTTTTAGGTGTTGTCACATTGTTGGAACAGTTTCTCTAGTTCTTAGTCATGATTCGAGCGACAAAGACATGTTATCTCACATATGTTGTTTCTCTACAAAGACTTCTCATGAAGGTGAATTGTCTAAAGAGTAATTTAGAAGTGAGGGCTTTCTTTTGTGAGATTGAGAGGAAGTTTTGAAATGATATTATGTAAAATTTAGTGATTTTAGATAGATTACTTGACGGTTGCGATATATAAGTTTCCCCCGTTCATAGTGAAATTTCTTCGCGCGTTCTTTAGTGATTTTTTCTCGTTCTTGAGATTTTCCTAATAAATTTTGATGCACTTTTTTTCTTAGATTATTTTGTGTTGTGCTTATGTTCAAAATTTTTTTTTTGAATTTCTCAAATAACTGTGTTTCTATTATGTTTGATTTCTAACTGATCAAATCACAAAGTGTATATTTCTATCCTGACATGTTGTATCAGAGTGGGGTGTTTGATTCGAATGAGAGCAATTAACGAACAGACAAAACAATGCACAAAGTGAAGAGGCTCAATCAGTCAAACTTCGCAATATTATGGATGCAAGTGAAGGATTTGTTGCATAAAAAAAAAAAAAAAAAACTATATTTACC